ACAAATAACAAATTAAAAAAACACAGAATATCAATCGAACAAATTAGAGAACGCCAGTTTCGTCCCAAAACCAAAAAAAAAAGAAGAACAGATTTCGAACTCACCATAATCAGGGCAACAACTTCCAGGCGGTATATCTTCATCATCGGATGCACGTACTTTCCATGACATTTTTTTTTCCTGAAACGATGAATATTATAATAAGAAACAGAGAAGAAATACATAGTTCAACCCCAGACATACAAACAAGAGCTAACTGCAACTACAAACTAATAAAACACAAAGCAATGGAGACCAAGGGACTTGGCCTAGAAGATAACAAGGGACTTATAGCTTGTCTGGAGGGCAGTATAGGATACTTAGGCCCGAAGACTTGCTATAGTCTAAGCAAATGGAAACTAGTAATTGAAAAGAAACCTTGCTAGCAAAAATGAAACACAAATAAAAGCTAAATAGAAGAAAACTCTATCCACTCAGAACAGGCACAATCCACCAAAAGCTTTCTCCGCATCCATTGCATTTTGAACACCCAGTGATTCCTCGCCTTCCGTAACCACCATTCAATGACATTGTTCACTTACCCAATTTGCTACGCTTGAAAGATTTTGAAGAGAAGGAATTGATTTTGGAGATTAGGGTTAGGATAGAGAGAATTTGGGGAGTTTCAAAGTTGGGAACGATAGATTGTGAAGAAAAGAATGGTTTTTTAGGTTTTAATTAACAGAACAACTTGAAATGTCTGTTATGCCCCCATCTCTATGTCGTCTTTGCCACGTGTCAGACTAATATGAACTCCGATGGCCGGAATTGGGTAAGTGCACAAAACTGCAAAGTTTATACTGGTTGAGTGCCAAAAAGAAATAGTTTAGTGAGCAAAGTGTGAAAAGAAATCCTTTTTCTATGTTCTTGATGTGGTCAAAAGCAGAATTCAGAGATGGAAAAATAAGTGGCTATCACCAGCTGGAAGAGAGGTGCTCATTAAAGCTGTTGTCATGCCCTACCGGTTTTTTCTATGTCCTGCTTTGTGCTTCCTAAAAGCCTATGCAAAGATATTGCCATGTGTGTGCTAGTTCCTGGTGGAGCAAGGGGAACAACAGTAATAGAGGAATTCATTGGAAAGCTTGGGACCACCTGACTTTGCCCAAATAACATGGAGGTCTTGGTTTCCAGGAGATTCAGCTTTTTAATGAAGCTCTCATTGCCAAGCAAATCTAGAGACTCATCACTCAGCCTGACATTCTGGTTAGCAGGATTATTAAAGCTAAGTACTTCCCTGATTCCTCCATCTTTGCTACTAAGAAAAAGAACAATGCTTCATGGCTTTGGCACAATTGGCTGAAGGTTTTAGACAGCTGTGGCAAATGGATGATGTATGTAGTCTGTAATGGCAAGAACACAAGAAATTGTGGAGGACTTCTGGATCCCTAACTTCATGGGAAAAGGGTGGCTTTCAAAAAGGGTGCAGGCTCTAATCTGGTTTGGGTAAAAGACTTGCTTCTTCCTGATGGCAGGACTTGGGACATGAACATCCTTAATCAATGCTTTTCTCCTGAGGTTTGCACAACCATTCTGCAGATAAACTCTCTTAATCCAGAGGCTGATGACAAGTGGATTTGGACTAAAGGGAAAAAGAACTCTTTTTCTGTTTCTTCAGCTTATTCCACCTTAATCCAACAGAAAATCTCCAAGATGGATGCAGCTCAAAGCAGCAATGCTATTTCCAAGGACCAACAGGTCAAAAACAGACTTTGGAAGCTGAGACTTAAAGGTAAAATTAAGCATTTTATCTGGAAATGTATATCTGGTATTATGCCTGTGGGAGTTAATCTGTTGAGGAAAGGGTTGGAAATTGATCCTATTTGTAAGGTATGTGGATTAGCTGAAGAAACTACAGAGCATGTCCTCTTTTCCTGTTTTAAGGCACAGCTTGTTTGGAAACTTGCACCAGTACAGTGGGATGGACCTTCTGACAAGGACACTGTCAAAGATTGGTGGTGGCACATTTCAGCTCTTAATCATAGGGATATTTCAGAAGCCAGAATCCAGCTCTCTACCTACATCCTATGGTGGCTCAGGAAATCCCAGAATCTGTGGATTTTTTAAGGATCTTCTAGGCCGGCACACCTCATTGTTGCTGCAGCTCTCTCAAACTGGCA